GGGGTGGATGGAGCGGCTATCACCTTACTGCGCTGGCATGAGTCACAGTGTACACTGAGTGGCTGTCTCCTTATGAAACTCCTTCCAGCTCTGGGACAAAGCCCTTCCCAGCAGAAGGACAGCAGCATCTAAGTGGCCAACACAGCTGTCAACGTGTGGATTGCTGGTTGACATGCCGGGCTACAGTCAGGTGCACATGTCACTGAGGAACATAGAGGAAATAGGGAAAGGAGGGAACTGAGCCCCCACACAGCTGGGATGCCACGTATGTTTTGAGTGCTTCCAAGACACTGTGAAGACAGCTCTGCAGACCCTGGGGAGACCTGGTTGTCTATCTAGTTCAGGGATGTCATCAAATAGATCTGATGTGACCTCTAACACATAAGAGATGAGAATGTGGCTTAAAGAGAAGCTACTGGACCACCAGAGGCCATTCCAATACTATGATCTTGAAGTCACTCTTCAAATGGTGGTGAAATATTTCATTCCTAGCAACTAGGACACCATCTGTAGCAAAATAACATCAGCTGCCCAGGAGCCTGAGAGAAACCAAAGGAACACGCCAGAGTCTTATACAGCTCTTACACAGAATTTATGAATGAATCCAGAACAGTCTGAAGATGGACTACTAAAAGCTACAACATAAAAAGAAGAGAATGACAATCAGAATAAATGGACACATTGTGTGTCAGCAGTGTGCATGCAAAGGACAGAAGGTGCTGTGTGCGGGGTCACAAGGGGGGCTGGGAGGTGCTGGCTGCAGTGAGGTCTGGTGAGGATGCTTCTCACCGTATATATTTTTAAACAGTATTTTCCCATGTGAACAAATTGCTCTTTTTTATTGATGGGTTCACTGAATGCAGCTCTTGAGCTCAAACATAAGGCAAGTGCTCTACAACTAAGGTTAATTCCTAGCCTCTCACTTAACTTCTAATGTAAGAATGTTCACTAATTCCTTAAACAAAAGCTTCTAAAATACGTTTCTAAAGCCTGTAGGACTTGGGGTGCAAGCCAAGTTTGGTGACACACACGTGTAACCCCAGCACTCTGGTGGGGATCGTAAGTTTGAGGCCAGCCCGAACCACCTAGTGAGGGCCCTGTCTCACAAAACCAAAAGGGAAAAAATGATAAATGAAAGATTTGGGGGATACAGCAGGAAACAAGATCCTACCTCTCTTTGAGGATGATGTGGTAGAAGGTGTAGCAATCACAGTGAGTGGTGGCCAGTACGGTGACCATGTAATATCCCTGGGCAGTAAAGGTTATCCAGCTTCCTGTGGAGTCACCTGGCCTGTGGAGCTGTCCCCACGGGCACCTCATCTTTCTGATGCGTAATCTTGACCTTCCCCTGGCTGTTCAATGGTACAGGCACCCATTCTGGAGCACAGAGGGTACGGTGGCCAGTAGCCCCCAGTAGATGTAGTGGTTTCCTGAGCTGTGATACAAATGTCTTTATGAACACAGCCACCTGAATGGATGTCATGAGACCCTGAGGACACGAACTCATGCTGTGTGTAAAACCACAAGTAGTAAATCTCTGGTCTCTGGTTCCTGGCCCCAGATCTTGTGTTTTCTTTTGGCATCTATGAAACCATGGTTGACAGCTACTTTGTTAACTTGCAAGTGGGAGCCCCTCCCAGTTCCTAACACGTAGACCTTGGTCCATTTAGTACCTTCTATTTAAAACAAATTAAGCCCAACTGTTCAGACTAGCACCTTTTGTGGCCTGGTCCTGAGTCAGTATTTGCCATGCATGCTTCAACACTATGCCATGCAGGAAAGGAACTGCCTAGAAAATGCAGCTGTCCCCACTGTTCTGCCAAACACTGCTGCAGCCCATGGTAGGCAGGAGATGACATGAAGTCACAGGAGGGTACTGCAGGCCCTGGGGGAGGCACAGACAGTGTTGGCAAGTCTCTAGGCATCTATGGCCTTGAGCACTGCACCCACAAGGTGGCAAGTCTAAGATGGGCTTGGTGACGAATCTGTAATCTACTCCTCCAGGGACAGAGCAGCTCAATTCTGCACCTCTAAAAGCATTCAGCACTGAAACTGGTCTTTGTTCTAATTTGTTACGAGTTTTGTTGATTCATTATTGTTATGATTTGGGTCTAAAATGTTCTCCAAAAGTCTCTATGTGTTCAGAGGATGCGCTTTTGGAAGTTTACTGGATCATGAGGGTCTATTCACATGTGGATTCATCTATAACTTGAGGGCATTATCACAGGCAATAGAAGCAGGAGCATGGGGCCTGGTGGGAGGGAGGGCTTGGGGGTGTGGCTTGGGGGGCTGTATCTGGTTCCGGACTTTCTTCTTTGATTCTTTCTTACCTGCCATGAGGTGAGGTGAGCAGCTTTTCCCACCCAGGTTTCCACCATGATGCTCTGCCTCATCTCAGGCCTACGGCAAAGAAGCCAGCTGATGGAAACCTCTAAAATTGGAGCCAAAAACAAACCTCTCCTCTTTTAAGGTTTTCTTCTCAGGTATTCTGTCACAGGGACAGAAAGCTGACTAACACAATCATGTAACGAGACATAGAAATTTCCTCACTAGAACTGAAAACTAGCAGCTGTGAGCTGTGGCACAGGTTTGTAATTCGAGCACTCCAGGAGACTGAGGCAGGAGAATTGGAAATATGAGCATGGTTTGGGCAACATAGTGAGACCCCATCTCAAAATACAAAAATGAAAAGGGACTGGGGATATAGCTTAGTGAGAAGGCCCTGAGGTTTAAGCCCCAATACCACAGAAAACCAACAAACAAAAAAGGAATTGAAGCCAGGTGTGGTGGTGTACCCCTGTAATCTCAGTACTTGGGAGGCTGAGGCAGAAGGATCACCATGAGTTCAAGGCCAACCTGGGCTACAAAGTGAGCTCAAGGCTACCAGAACTGCATAGTGCAACCCTGTATCAAAAAGACAAAAAATAAAAAAGAAAGAAAGAAAGAAAAGAAAATCAGTTTTTCTCATTTCTGTTGCTCTTTCACACTTATTTATTGTCACTATGGAATCTCAAAGTGATTCCCACAGAAAAATACTTCTTTTGACTTTGTGAAGCAAAAGCTTGCTCACAAATGTCTGCTCACATGGTGTGGTCTTGCTCAGAGCTGGCTTGGGGTCATGTGCTGTGGACTCTGGTTCCTATCACCTGCAGTATCTCCATCCCGGTAGCTCACCACTATTTATATCCCTGGCATTTGAGCCATGCATATTTCAAAGAGTAAGAAGAAGCACTGTGGACACAGTCTGTCTTTGAGCTGAGGACAGTGGCCCGGTCAGCTCCGCTTTTCCACAGTGGGCCGCTGGCCAGAGCACATCCTGCCAGTCAGAGAGGTGGAACAAATCAGATGCACACATTACATATCTTTGCTACAAGGTGATATTGAACTTAAGAGCAAACACTTCCTATCACAAGAAAACGGAGTGAGATTTCTGCTGCATCCAGGAAAGGCAGCATTCTGCGGCCTGGGTCTCACTCACTCTACTCAGCCACACTGGTGCAAGAATTCTGCACCTCAGGAACAAAGGCCCAGGTCCCTGCTGATGCTCACAGATGCTCTCTGAAGAGTACTTTTCAGTGCGCTGACTTATCTTCGGAGAGGACACCCAGCAGAAGTCACTGCCATCACCCTTGAAGCAGGCAGTGCTGGCCACAGAGGTCTGCCTGCTCCTGCAGAACTTGTTTTGAATGCACTGTTTGCAAAGTTTTTAAAAAACTGAAATATTTTACATAAAGTTTGTATTTCTGGTAAGCACTCTGAAAATAGGGAGCCAGACCATTTGGAACCTCCTTTTCCTCAGGGAGTAGTGAGCGAAGGGACAGAGGGCTGTCCCTCAAGACCCCAACAGCACATGATCTCAAGCCCTGTCTTCTAGGGTTATCTGGATTTTCACTGAAAACAGCAGATCACACAGCCATAAGCTCACTCACCCAGTTTGGTCCCCAGAGCCATCCCTCAGCACGCACTGTCTCTGAAGCTGGAAAAGGCCCTGGAGCCAGATCGCTATTTTCCACATGAGGACATGGGGGTCGAGGAGGGCAGAGATGCCTGTCTCTAACAGTTAGAGCCACTATATTCAGCATGGGAGTACTGGCTGCCTGGCCCAAATGGCAGTGTACTGTTAGGTGCAAAAGCACACCAGGCTTCTGAGACTTCTAAGCAGGAAAAATGTAAAAGTAATAATTTTAATGTTAAGTGTTATAGATAAAAATGATAAACAGACATCTTTGGGCAGATATAATGCACTATTAAAGTAATCTCACATTTCTTTTTACTATTTTAATGTGGCTGCTAGAAAAACCCAGTTACCTACATGGCTCCTATTCTGCTCTACCAGGCAGGGTATCAGGCTGTCATGACAGTCTCAATTTCATTTCAATTTCATTTTGAAGAAGATAAACAAGGGCATGAGTACAGAAAAGAAGCTTACAGGCAGAAGTCTTTCACTATCAGTGAACGGCAAACCGGACCCAGAGTCTCCCCAGCATGAGCCTGTGCTGTGGAACCCACAGCAGCCCTCTGCACATCTCAGAGCATGCCTGCAGGTCCACAGTACTCACAATAGGTCTTCTGCATGAAAACAGAAGTCCATGTCCCTGTTCACTTTCTGATAAGTTTCTACTGTCTTTCACTGGACAAGAATCATTGTGACCCGACTAAGATTTTAAAGTTCAAGAATGTGGATTAATGTTCCTCCTATGGCAAAGTAAAGCCGTGCCTGCAAAGCGTAACAAATCCATGAAATTATGTCACTGTTGCTGTTGTTCTTAAATCACCGAAGCCATCAAAGGATTAAGGTTTTGTTTTAAAAGGTTGGTGTGGTAATCTCACTGACACAGTCCTGCATGAGTTTTGCCACTGTTTTAATAAACCTCTGGAAAGTGGACCTGCCATTAAGAGGTAGACACCTCACCACTGGCAGGAGAGGGGCTCCGAACTGTGGTAGTCAGACATTCTCCACATACCACGAGCACAGCCTACCTCCTCCCGTTACCACCTACCTTTGTACTTTTCGGTTTGAGTGCTGAGAAGCTCTGAACATTTTGTTTCTTCCTTTTGTATTTCCAGATGAAATCGGCATTCTGGGTGAATGCCATACACCTGTCCAAGGTTATAAGAAAGAGAAGTAACTACAAATTGCCTAAGCAGAAGTTCTACAAGAAGAATCTAAAATCTCACAGTTCTAAGCTGCTCCACAAAAGAAATTCATTTAGAAGCCATCACCGTCATTTTTCTGGCATGGTTATTTACAAAACCCTTACCATTTATTTTGTAAATGTTTCATAAAACAGATATAATACCTAGTGGAGTTTTTTTCTGAGTAGGAAAATAAACTAACAGAATACATATATGTCATTAGAACTCATTTTGGGACCACAGAGCCCTTTAAGCCACTCCTCTCAATACTCAACCTTTCACTTCACATTGATTTGATTAAATCAAACGCACATTTCCTTGTAGGACCACTCTTGGAGATGCCAGTTTGCTTTCTCCGAGGGCTTCTCCATGTCTGCTGCAGACAGCCATAATAGGATAGCTACATTTTTAAAAGCCTCAGGACACGTCCAAAACTTAACCCTATGAACGCAGATAAAATTGCAATCAGTTTTTTACTCTAGAATTTGGTGTGAAAGAGCTTTCAGAAGGATTAAAAAGATGAGAGGGGGCAGCAGGAAGAGAATCCACTACTATGACTTCAGGGAAAATGGTAATTTCCAGTCAGAACCATTGTGGGGTCTACCGATGTAGCAAAACTTGTCACTGATGGTGTTTACAGACATATGAAAGACAGTGCCACATGAGGTTCCAGTATCAGAGGATATCACACTCTGATTGCTCGTTTTCTTAGCCTCTGCCAACCTCAGTAAGGGCCTACACTACTGGCCCAGGGCCCTGTTGCTCATTAGGTTCTATCTCTGCCTTCTGCCTGCCTATCTCAGTCTCTCTCTGTCTCTCTTTACTCTCTTTCTCTCGGTCTGTCTTAATCTATCCTCCTCTCCTTACCAAAATTTTACTAAAATAGCAACCAAGGAGCATCACACTCTTGGCAATATCATGGTCATCTATGTTTAGTTATCCTACTATTGACACAGCCAAGAATTCCAATCAGGAATCTATTTCCCTAGCAGAACTAAAAGAAACTTAATGCTCTATCATTCTGTCACATTTATCCCCTTACAAAAAACTCTGCGTTTTCTTTAGTTTTACTAGCTCCTTATTTATTACACAACCATTAAAGGTAGACTCCTGATTCAAGCATACTGTGTTTTTCATATTTAAACACGTCTAGGTCTAAATCTCAGACGTGGGGAAGTTATGTCGATTTAAAAGGCAAAAACATTAGGATAATACCCAAGACTACCTGAGTGTGCAGACCCCACTGACTAATGAGGATCCCACAGGTTAGAGACCGTCACCCCAGATTTCTCATACTGCCTCAGCCAGGCTTGGCTCTGCTCTCATAGCATAGAGGATCGAGAAGCCCGGGACAACCGGCCCGCAGCTGTTCCCACATGCACGCGCTCCCCGTGAGTGGGCAAGAGAAGGTTGCCATCCTCCCAAAAAGGTTTTTAAACTAAGGGAAGAATTCGTGAGAACGACACAGCAAACTTGTATTCAGTTTGTTATTCCACCGGCGCTCTTGAGACAGGCAGAACGGTTTCCTACAGAAAACTTCCCTGCCGGCCACGTCCCCTCGGCATCCGCGGTGACAAGGACCAGGTGGCGGAGCGCTCGACGACCGGCCGCCGCAGGGCCGGTGTGGCGGCAGGAACCCGAACCTGGGCCGACTCACCCCAATTCAAGCCCGGACTGGACCCTACTCGAACTCTAACCAGAGCCTGAACTCGAATCCGAAGGAACCCGACCAGAGCGCGAACCGACCCAAATCCGATTAGATCCGAACCCAACCCGAACGCGATCTTCCCGGGAGCTCCACACAAGTCCAAACCGAGCTGGATCCCAACCCTGCGGCGCGGACCGCAAGTCTGGGGCCCAGACCCTTGGCGTGTTCGGGGCGCACCCCTCGGGCATCGCACCGGCACAGAGGTCGTGGTACTCACGGGGACCAGAAGCCAGCAGCAGCAGCAACAGCAGCAGGTCAGCAGCTCCGGCGCCCTCATCCCGCGCGCGGTGCCACCTAGTCCCGCGCGCCGGCGGCTGCGCCCCCAGCTACCAGAGCTCCGAGGCTGGGCGCGGGCCGGGCAGGGGACCGCCGCCCCGCCCACAGCCCCACCGAGGGACGCCCCGCCCAGTCCCCGCCCACAGCCCCCACCACAGGACGCCCCGCCCAGTCCCCGCCCACAGCTCACGACACGACGCCCCGCCCACACCCCCGCCCACACCCGGGTCTCGACACTCCCCTCCCCTCGCTCCTCCTCTCCCCTCCCACCCTTTCCAGGCTCCGGACCCCGTCTGCACCTAGCTCCTCGCCTACCCGCGTCCCGCACCCTGGGCCCAGCGCCGTCCCCGCGGCCCCTTCCCCTGCTATCTTCGTCTCTAGGTCGCTTCTCGCCCGCCGCCTGGAATGCGCGCGCCTCCCGGCCCTCAGCCGTCGGCGAACAGCGCGGGGACTGAAGGCGGCAGGACCGGCCGGCGCGAGGTTGGCGAAGGAAACTGCAGCGGTTCTAGGGGATCTACGGCCTCTGCAGAGGAAGTGGGGTGCGCTGAAGGGGACTCCCGCGGCCGCGGGCCACCTCGGCCACCGGGGACAGCGCCGCCTCACCAGAGCGGACGCGGCGCCAGGCTGTGCGGCTTTGGGAGTAATTCCCAGCGCGTAGCTGAGTGAGTGGGAACCGCTCGAAGCGCACCCGCGTTCCGCCAGCAAGGCTTCTGGTCGCTGAGCTGGGCGTACTGGAGCTTATGCAGCGCCCTCCACCCTAAAACCATCCATCCTGTCTTCTGTGCCCTCCACCTGTTCCCATGACCTGTGATCCACCACTCGGCTGCCATTTATCTGTCATCTAGTAGACCTCCGCACTCTCTGCGCCTCCAAGGAGAGTTACAACTTGCACCTTCGAATAAATGCAGTATTTACCAATTCGTTAATGTTTCACAAACCTGGAGATTAGGCTTTAATTACAAACAAATAAAACTTCCCCTCCCCGAAGCCTGAAGTGTTGGAGAACCTGGTCCTTGTTGGTCCAGTTCCTTCCCCACTCCTAGCTTTGGAATCCCCCAGCTTTGGAATTCCCTGTAAGAGGTCAGGCAGTGAGTGGGCGGTGGGATCTCTTTCTGAGCCTGGGCCCTGCTGGTTCTATGCTTCCGGGATACTCCAAGCAATCATGGCGCGCGGTTTTCTGCGATGACCATACAGTGTCCAGTTCCCAAAGGCAGGTGGCATGGCATCTCTCACTGTCCATGCTGGGAACATGTTGCCCATGTGAGCTGTGTTAGCTGTGTTAGTGTAGCGTCCCTAAGAGAATCTGGCAAGTTCTTAAGATGAGTCGGGCCGGCATGGAACCTCCATGCACACAGAATGAGTATTCGGTGTGTCTCTGTCGGTCTGTTTCTGGGCTCTCTCATATGCCTCTTCCCTGTTTGTCTGTTCTTTGGTTAGCACCACACTGTCCTAACCACTGTCGCTTTCAAGCATGTCTTGAAGTCAGATGATGTCAGTGTTCCAATTTTGTTTTCCTACAATATTGTGTTGAGCCTTTTGCTTTGCCACATAAACCTTAGAATAAGTTTGGCATATCCACAGAACAAGGTGCTGAGATTTTGTTAGAGTTTGTGTTTAATCTACAGATTGAGTTGAACAGAACTGACACCTTAATAAATTTGAGTCTTCCTGTCTTATCTTCTGTCTGTGCAGATCTTTGATTTCTTGTGCATTTAACATTTTGGTGCTGAGGTAAATGGCATAGTATTTTAAACGTTGAATTGTAATTGTTCACTTATGGTAAGAAAGCAATTGAGCTGGGTTCAGTGCCACTCACTTGTAATCCTAATCACTCTGAGTGGCTGGGGCAGGAGGATTGGAAATTTGAGTCTTGCCTGGGCAACTTAGTGAGATTTTGTCTCAAAAATGAAAATTTAATAAGGTCTGGGTATGTAGTTCACTGTGACTTTCAGGCTCTGGATTCAATCCCCATACCACTGAAAAGAAAAAAAAAATGCAACTGACTTTGTACTATAACATTAACTATTAGTCAGTTTTCTGTTACCAAAACAAATAACCTGATCCCCAACAATTTAAAGGAGGAGAGGTTTATCTGGTTCACAGATTCACAGAATTTAGAGCATGGTGTGCTTGTTCCAAGGCAGGAGCATTGTGGCAGAGGGATTTGGTGGAGCAAAGCTGCCTTGTTCATGGCAGCTGGAAAGCAGAGCAGGAAATAAGCACCAAAGAAGAAGGGATGAAGCACTGGGTATTGAACCCAAATCTCACCTCTGTAACTCCACCAAGGTACATTCAGAAATACGCTTTACTAATCCACTAGGGGCGCTCCTAAACCAACCTATTTGACAATCTGGCCTAACCGGCACCTCCTACCCCTCGTCAGTGGCTACCCAAACAGTGTCCTTAAGCCATACTTAATTTCTAAATAAACACAAGGTCACAGTTCTATCTAGCTTCATACAGCTATCCCACATAAGACCAAATATGATAATCTGTTTCCCAAAGTCTTAGTAGTTTTAGCATTGCTAAAATGTCCAAGTCGGGGCTGGGGATTTAGCTCAGCGGTATAAGCGCCTGCCTTGCAAGCAGGCAGTCGTGAGTTTGATCCCTGGTACCGATAAAAACGAAAAAAAAAAAAAAAAAAAAAAAAAAAGACAAATAAAATAAAATAAAATAAAATGTCCAAGTCAGTCTCCTCTAAAATTCAAGATAAACTCTTGGCTATGAGCCTCTAAAAATAAAGAAATAATGTACTCCCAATGTACAATGGCAAAGGATAAACATTACCTCTTTAAAAGGGAGGAATAGGAGGATACCAGAACCAAAGAAAGACTGAAACCCAACAGGGCAAATATTAAACCCTTGTACCTCTCTACAGGTAGCCCCCCCCCCCCATGCTCTTTGTACTTGCCTTTCTCTTGATCTGGCTCCACTTAACTACTGTGACTTTCCTTGGCAGATGTTCTACACTCC